GTCTAATGGATGTCAGTTATCAGTTATCTCCTGTTAATTCCCCTTTCCAAGGTTTCCACCACCTTAACTAGGCATTGAACACACTGGTTTAAAATACTTATAAACCTATACTTTGAAGTTTACAAAGATTTTTCTTTAGTAATGTAGACACCCGAATTTACTTTGCTCTACAAAGAGAACGATGACTTCAAAAGTAAACAAAACCTATGGCGCAAAACAGACAAACAGGAAATGTAAAGAAGCGTCTAGTCGAATATGAAAATGGAATCAAGTTGTATTTATTATCACATGTGTTGATGTGGACACGTAAAAACTGGCGGTGGAGTTTGTTAATAAAATCAATGTATTGCGAATATGTTATGACAACAATCAAACGTGCTCTGAACGAGGCCGGCTTTTTACGCATAAAAAATTACTAAAATAGAAACAAAGAAATCTGTTTAAAGTTTTCGCAGGCGAATAAGGTTGAACAGTCAACGTTTCCGGAACAACGTACCGTCTGTTCAAATAAAACAGTAAACAAAGCATTGGCGTCTGATAGTATCTAATGGTTTTATCTTCATAATCTTACATTTTTTGTATCAACAGTAATACATGATGGAGATAACGTCATGGTCTGGGGTTATATGCGATCTCGTGATACAAACGATCGGCATTTCATTGATTGAATTATAACTGCTGAAGGTTACTGACTTATACTAAATGAAAACCTGCTGTCTTTACAAGTTGAGCTTAAATGGTTAAATATCAACAGATTTTTCGAAGAAGCAGTTTTAAAAAAAGACTCGAGTGGACAGATAAGTCATCGTATTTAAATCGAAATAAAGTTTTATGGAACGATGACTTCAAAAGTAAACGATACGTACAATTGATACGAAAGTGACAAGATAGTAACAGTGACAACAAATCAAACTTCGAATTATGCATTATTTCGGATCGGAAACATTCTAACAACAGTTTCTGCAAAACTTCTGATCAAATAATACAAAAGGCCAAAACGAATAGTAAAAAATAAAGGCGGTCACGACGAATATGAAATTAAATAATACTTTATCACAGGTGTGTTTGTCAATTTTAAATAAGGACCTATTTTGGCCAAAAGCTTTTGATCATGATGAGGCAAAATTCCGGTCAAAGAGTTTTATTTGATAAGAGATAAAATAAATATATTATGTAGCGTGAGAAGGATTATAATCATACAAAGATAAACAATATAACCTCTTCCTTGGGAGGGACCTTTATTTTATTTCTTGTCAAATAAAACTGTGTGTGTGTGTAATACAAATATATAATTTGCAACTCAAGTGAATTTATATTTCTCACCTCGATTCCAGAGTTTCGTAGACTAAACTCTTTGCTATCTGTGGCACCATTTACGAGGCAGAGAAAGAAAGAGAAAGAAATGAAGGCAGAAAGAAATGCGAGACGGATCATAGGTGATAAAACAGCCACACACCTAGCCTAAGAGACAATGAAAATATTGATAAGTAACAAGTGAAAAAGTGTGTCATTAGAATGACGGGGAATTTCTGAGTAAAAAAAAAAAAAAAAAGGAAAGGAAAAGAAAGAAGGAACCAGATGTGTTTTGATAACGGCTATGTTATCTAGGTACGTAAACGAATGGCTAGACCACTGGCCCAGGAAAAATTCAAGTGAAAATGCTATTTCGATAAGTAACGAGAAACAGGCCACTAAAAAAGGACTTTGGACAGATATGAAAAATTAAATCCCACACAAGCAGAGCGCTGACCGAATTCCTTTCAACAAAACAACTTTGCCCTGCGATAATAAAATTATGTTATCAGACACATGTACCGAAAGAAAATAAATGGGAATCAGAAATGTTTTTCTTTCTTCCTTGGAGACGACAGACTGACTGAAATTTTTGGGGATAATTCTTTTCTGAGTCCATGTCGGGAAAACCAACCATCTTGATGAATTAGCGATAAGCTACCTGACAAACGCCACGTGTTGAACAAAGAGTTGACATATTATCCGTTCGTGACTAGAGAAATGATAACGGCAATTTTGAAAGGAAGAAAAAGGAAAGAGAAGAGATAATTAATTTTTTTTAGTTCAGCAAGGTATTTTTTTTTCCGAAACAAAGCCGCGGATTGTTCACGCCCGACTAAGACATCATTGGTCAAGTGGTGATCACGTGACGCACGAAGAAGGCTGTCGACGCCCCCATCGAGAGTATAAGTATGAGAAGCTGCTACGAAGAAGTGGGGAGGGCAGTTCACGCCCCTCAGATGTATGGTGAGAAAGTGGGAGTGAGAAAAAGTTCCCAAAAATGGAAAAGAGTGGAAAATCCCTAACCAGAAATAAAAGAGGTGGATATGTATTTAGAATTATCGAGGGACCCCCCCCCGGACGCCAACAGAACAAACCCGGTTTTGGTCGGCGTCATTAAAAGCCAGGCCCCAACAGGCAGAAATCAGTTCGGGCCCTGGCGGCAGAGATGAGTGACCAGAGAGTTCGAGCTCCAGTTTCCAGAGTTGAAGCCGCCTCGAGATAGCTGACCAAGATTCACGCAAAATTCCGGACTCCTCTTCAACCAAGAACAATTATTTTGAAGAGCGACTTAGGACCAGACCACCGAAATAAGTTTTTTTTTCGACTTTCGTCCAAAGACACACCAAAACACAAATTTCTTAGAGAGCAAACAACTTGAAGCGTTAAAACTTGCCTAGCGAAAACGACGTGTCACAATCCACAGAACGGGTCGGGAGATAGATGCAGTCCTATGTATCATAAAGTTTGTTACCTTTTTCTTTGATACTTTGAACTTTTTGAGTTTTCATTTTCTTTTCTTTTATGCATATTTGTGTGTTATCACCCCCGTTGAACTCAATTTGCATTACGGCCCCAACCACTGTTTGATCTCGTCTGTCTAAGATCAATTCACAACGTGGGTAGGGTAGGCAGACTGGAGATCAATGCAGTTACCTTGGTAACCAGGCGTTGGAAGCGAGTTGGAAGCGAGTTGGGAGCGACGAGGCTGGTATCAAATCTAACCAGATTCCCACCCGAATCACCAAAAGGTTAGAACGTCACATTTGGGTGCCGCGACCGATACCAAGCCAGTTGGTCGTCACAGTACGAGACAACACGACTGACGCGACAGGCGGACGTCACGTTTGGAGCAGCGTCACCCGGACGGAGCAGCGAGGAGCGAACAGCTGGCACTGCGGCGAAGACGTCACAAGTGGTGCTGTTTGAGGACGTCACAACTGGCGCCGTGGTAGAGCAGGATAGAACGTCACAGTTGGCGCTGCGACCGGGGGACGACGTCACATATCGTTCGGTCCACATGTCAAGAACTATCAACAACTGACTGCGATTTTTCTCATGGGAGGGCGTAGAAAATGCAGTTGTATCTTTCTGCAAAAAATATAATAAATAAATGATGTAAAAATGAAAACATTTATATTGAGGGGTTTTGTTCCGTGTGGTAATGTATCATGTCAAATACCGAAATTTTATTTATAAAACTGCATTTATTTATTTAGGTAATTTTGCTTTGTTTAAATACAGTTTTCTTAATGAAATAATTATATTTACCTTGATAAATTTGAATCAAGTAAAGAAGCACGTCGGAATAAAAGGATTTAATGCTTGTCATTTTTCAAAAATTATATATATATATATATATATATGTGTGTGTGTGTGTGTGTGTGTGTGTGTGTGTATGCACACACAGACACGGTGTAATGGATAAATTGTTGACTAAATTATGCAAAAATGAAAATAACAGTGACATCTCATTTTAACAGATATTTTGCCAAAAGTGTATAAAATCTGGAAATACTAAAAATCAAATTTATTCAATAAAATCGCCATTGGTTTCAATCACGTCCTCCAAATGACTTCGTAATCTTCTGCATCTCTTCTTTGTAGTTTCCTTGTTTAAGTTGGTGACTGCTGCCATAACTCTAGCCCCCAGATCCCTTTTGGTGCTACAGGGAATTTTGTTAAGCTCTCGCTCAACTGCACCACCCATAATACTCAAGGTGGTTACAGACTGGAGAGTTATATGGTTCCAGAAATTATCTGGCAGCCATGACTGAGTTCTCCTTCTAGTTTTGCATGCTGCAAAGATATTGGGTCTTCCAATGCCACCAACCAGGGCAGCGCTACCTCCAAGGTATTTGATGTTGGCTTCGTGTTCTGAGGCCCTGTGGATGGAATAAAGTCACCATCCCTAGTGATTACACTAAACACCATGATGTTGACTGGATATGTCATCCAACTCTTTCCAAAACGTCAGCACTGTCCCCAGATTGACACAGCAATACTCTGAAATGTTCGTATTCGTGCTACCATTGCGTGCTACCAGTAGAGCAGGCCGTTTCCAAATTTCTCTCCAAGTGAATTGCGTCATGGGGCTCTTTTTCTCACAGACGGTGTCCAACTGACTGATCCTAATACGCACTGCAGTCGACAAAATAAAAATATAAAAACAACAAATAACGCGAATGCGCGAAATTGATTACATAAAATGATGACAATTTTCCCATCACACTATATATATATATATATAATGCACACATTATGAAACATGGTATATCTAAAAATGGACTTGAATCTCATTTCGCGTTCACATTATTCGCTACATACGTCACTTTATGTATGCAATGCTTAAATACTTCGATGGATACGGTGGAAATTAGAAGTTTTGGAGATGTTAATTACTCGAATTATCGTCTAATGCTTGAAATTTGTGGTAGTATCCCATATGAATCACACACGTCCTTTGCCAACCCTCTCTACCCAGCTTTGAATTAACATTTTTCATTCTTCCAGACTAGTTGCCAACCAAGGCTACTGGGTCGAGTATACACTGCTATTCACCCATGAGGAGGAGAAGAGATGTATTCATTCGTTTCCCAAGAGCATTTGCGCCTAAATAAAGACAACGAATTCGACTGGTTTTTGAACACTACACTCGGATTTCTCATGTTATACCGTTATGCATCATACCACCCACTAATCCAAGCATATAGCACCTGGTATTTCCAAGTGGTCACCCATCTCGGTACTGACCTAGCTCGACGTTGTTTAACTTCAGTGATCGGACGAGAAACACTGTTTCAACGTGATACATCCGTCACTATTACTGCTACTAATGTTTTATTTTCTTTTCGATGGCGGCAAACTACTCTGGCTGCTGCTGCTGCTTCATTCGCTTCTTTTTCCCTCCCTCGACTACTGTGTACTTTGATGTCACACTGAACGGTTACTTGTACTTTTCATGTTTAGTCATTATATGTAGTAGAGTCCTAGTGGGTCAATGTGACCTGTAATCAAATAAGATATTTTATGCCTACATATGCACACAACAATTAAACAAGCTTGCACACATATAATCGGAAATCACGCAAATGTGTCTTCCGATATGCTCCAATAGACATAAACAGTTTGCAGGCAGTCAGGCAGCCGCACGCATACAAACACACACATATATATATATATATATATATATATATATATATATATATATATATATATATATATATATATATATATATATATATATATATATATATATATAGACACACCATTATATGTATAAAATCGAGCGAAATTCGAAATAAAGCAACAGTCTATGATGTGATGCGTTTAAAAAACTGCAATCTAACGCGTTGTATATAGACACTTACATATGTGTACACGCCGCACACATGCAACACAGACAAGCCTTCTTCTAACACATACATGCACGCCCCTACTACTCACATAGCCACGCCCCATTACATACGCCTACTTCGGACATAAAAACGCCTGACACGTGCGAAAACACGACACTAAACACTCATATGTACGAAATAGTCACTCCCTCAGAAACACACGCACACGCATGCGTAATCGTCAACGCATACGTGTTTAAAATTAGACACTGTCCAGTCACGCACAAACTGATAAACACAAGGCGTCTACGGCAAACTAACAGAGTAAGCTAATTTGCAAGCGATGGCAACTGAATTACATGCAGACTGAGTGTCCATTATGATGCCTTTGTGTGAGTCGAAGCTCAGCTAACAGCGACAAATAAAAACAGTCAAAAAGAAAATTATAATTAATTGATAAAATTAAAATGCAGAAGATATTATCGAAACAGAGAAATTTATTAAGATTCAGCCTGTGTATAGGAGTCTATCATTTATTTCGTATTTACATAGACATACAGATAAATATATTCAGACACCATAACTATTTGACAATTTTTTGAAAATCGATCTCTCTCATTATATATATATATATATATATATATATATATATATATATATATATGTATGTATGTATGTATGTATGTGGGGGTGGTGTTTGTATTCTAAAGAAATGAATTTGTTTATTTATTAATCCGACAGCATTTTTATCATATGAAACGCTATTTTTAGTCGATACTCATATTTGAGTAGAGGCTTTGTATATTTATTAAACAGTATATTTATTTATTTTCTTCTACCGGCCTGAATAACCGACGGTATACCTCAGGCTTTAAGTCTATTACGAATACAGCAGGAGAGTGTATTTGTTTTTTTGTTTGATCAGATTTTTCAAACATTGAAGTTGAGAGACGAAAATAAACGGAGCGTGTACTCAAATATGTGTATCCACTAAAAATAACTGTTAAATTGATTATATACGTGTATATTATATATATATATATATATATATATATATATATATATATATGTGTGTGTGTGTGTGTGTGTTTTTGTGCATATACACGTGTATTTCACAGACGAATGTCGCGTTCTCACTTTCCCTCTCTTCACTAATTACTTGCACACATACATACACGCAGGCAGCAATATGCTTAATAATTTTGTATATGGCTAGCAAAACCCCCTGTAATACATGTTTCATTGAAAATGATTGATAACGTATTTGTGTTAAGATCATCCATGAATTTTCCTTGTTTTGAAATGAGAGATTATTCAGAGGAACATGCCATTTTGGGATTAGGAGAGATAAATGGAAAAAAAATTAAGAGTTCCAAAAGCTGAAAGGTTATGAAGAGCTGAGATCACCCACGTCCTGTAGGGACATGCCATACAGCAGAAAAAGAAGTGTGTGCTGAAAGCGCCACCAAATATTATGCCCCAAAACAAACGATATTAATAGTAACTTCATTATATATTATATACATTATATATATATATATATATATATATATATATATACACACATACACACACACACACATATGTGTGTGTGCATATATATATATATATATATATATATATATATATATATATATATATATGTGTGTGTGTGTGTGTGCGTTAACATCAAAGTCAGCACTCATAGGCGACAGACTGTTTCATGTTAGGTGCAATCATCAGGCTGTTGATTGCGTCTAGTAGGAAACACACTATCGCCTCTGAGTGTTGACTTCAATATTCATTTTTATATTTACATACACTCTATCTCTTATACTGAGCACTTCCATTAATATTCCATAAATAAAACTGTGTGTGTGAGTGTGTGGAGCAGAATCATGTTGCCAGAATTAGGGTCTTCCTGCGGTCACCCTCTTTGTTCAGAGCAGCATAACCTCTTCATGTTACTTGATGTAGGCCTTTGTGTTCTGTCTGAGACCCTATGGGAAGACATACGGAGGCATAATCTCACCATCACTAGTCATCCCTCCAAACACCTTCGTAATCACCACTAGGCTCATCTAAATATTTCCGTATCTTTTAAACTCTCACCAGGTTGACACCTCGATACTCTGAAATTACCGGATTGAAGCTTCCAGCTTGAATGCTAAGCAATATATATATATATATATATATATATATATATATATATATATATATATATATATATACATACAGATAAAAATCTGTGGGTACGTAATCCAAGTAAATCCTAATAGTATAAAATATTAAAACTGATCCACAAAAGTGAGCTCAAATTAATTATCATAGAGCAAATAACGAAATAGATAAAAAAGAATCTCATTTGTACCCAACTTTTATTGCCATTTCGCTGCTCGGGTTAAATTCCCTGGACATTGTTAATACTAAACGTTTGATTAAAAAAAATAACCAAACCTATTAGCGAAATGGCGATATAAATGGGGTACAACTTAGTTTCATTTTTATTTAATTCACACACACATATATATATATATATATATATATATATATATATATATATATATATATATATATATGTGTGACAACTCATGGTAGCGTGTTAAAGAATAACAGACCCGGCTCCTGCGGGATATGTTGGGAGATTACTGTTAACCCTAATTTTGTATAGCTTTTTATTGCAGTGATCGGATAAGGCACCTGTTGAGTGTCGTTTTCACAAGACAATGGTTTGTAGGTTGAATCTGCTTAAGTGGAACTTGCATCTCACCAGAGGAATACTTATAGAATTTGGGTGCTTCGCTACAGTGTACGTGGCTTATTGGGTCATATCCGTGGAGGCTAGGACTGGCTAAATTTGGGAGTGGAGTTCATTTGAACACGCTCGACGAAAATAGCGATAGAGCAACGAAAGTCTTTCAGAGTGGAAAATAAGGACGTAGAAAATAAAGACCGAGCAACTCCTGCGTCTATATGACAGCAGTGCTCCATTTTCGGTCTGATCTGACTCACGTAGACGTAGAGAGGAGTCCAGTATTTACTGGACCGGTACAGGGAACAGAGCATTTTCCAAGCATCTTATGGATCTCATGTACGAATTTGGGTTGAGTTTATGTCTAAATAGATTCTCAGGTTACGGTGCCTTCCTGGGGGAGCATCTTTATATCATGACTCGTGAAAGTTTTGCGTCCGCTCGGCGATGGTGGAAGGTCACTAGTTTCGTTTTTGAGGCATTAAATGTAACCAGCCATTTTTCTCCCCACTGAACTGTTAGAGCTAGTTTAGAGTAGAGATCAATTGCCAAGCGCTGGGCAACGAGTATTTTGGAGATGCGCTCATGGGAATAAAAGAGAATGGGAAGACAGACTTATTTTTTAGGAGAAAGGACCATAAAAGTACAGGACTCTAGAAGACTCCAAGAATTTTGAAGATGATACACGGCATGGAAGCAAGAAAGCGAAGGAGAGTTAATCAAGGCGAGAAAAAAAACTATTGGAATAGTACTTACGTTTACATTTAGCTACAATGAAGAAAAATTGTCTATCATGACACATTGAACCAAATTTCCTAGCAGCAAACATAAGTTGATGCAATACAATACCTCCACTAAAAAGACGAGAGACTAAGTAGACGCAATGATGCTTGGTGTTAGTCTCATCGATAGAAGGAAAAAAAAAGATTGTACCAGTTTTACTTTGATGACTTTAAAATTTACAAGCCATTCCTTGTCCAGGTTAAAATATGATTGAAGATCATTTCCGTGAGTAGCTGTCAGTTTTACTTTGAGCTATCGGACTTACTATTAATGACAGGAGTATATAGCTGTGATGATATCGAAACAACGAATTGTCCAAAGTCTTGGGGAAACTCGCATTAATGTGAAATAATCTAGAAGCCATTCAACATATTCATAAAACAATTTAAGAACAAGTGGATTAAGAGAAATATTCATTCAGATACACTATAGCCCATGCGCTTGTGAAGAAGTTTCGGAGGCAAAATGCCTTCGAGATATCGAAATTCTTAGCTTTACCAACAGCCATCTCATATAAATCCTGTGAGTCATATGTATATTATTACAAATAATGTTTTAAATTTCATCAATGCCAGACTGAAGTGAAAACGTTTAATTCTTTTGAATTTGCATTGTTCATTTCTCTGATACGAAATCGGGCTCGTGGGAACTTTCGAGGAAAATTGAACGAGGAAGTATGCATATCTTAAAAGAAAGACTCGAAACTTGCTGAGCTGTGATGCCGGTTCGGAACCTACCAGGGAACATATTATATTTAAGTTTTCCGGGCTTGCAGACCGGTAGACATAACAAACAGTGTTTAAAAGAAAGAAAAAAAACTGACGTCTATTTAACCAGTACAAATAACACACACACACACATATTTATGTGTATGTGTGTGAGTGTGTGTATTAAAACATTTGAGTATATTTTGTCTATGTTTGTGTCAAATGCGTTTGCCCGTCTTCCTATCC